AGGGCAGGAGAAGAAAGGGACAACAGAGGATGAAATAGTTGGATGGCATCACTGATTCACTGGACATGAATTTGAGCAGACTCCTGGAGATGGAGAAGGACAGGGAAGCCTGGCGTGCTGCAGTCCATGGGGTTGTAGAGAGTGGGACATGATTTGGTGACTGAACAACAACAAAATTCAAAATTCTTCAGAGTGAAAGTATTTTAGGGGCTTGAAATATAATTTTTAAAGAGATGTTTATTTAAGGTTGCATGTTCTAAGAAGTTCTGCACTTCAGTTCAGTCGCTCAGTCGTGTCCAACTCTGCAACCCCGTGGACTGCAAGACGACAGGCTTCCCTGTCCATCACCAACTCCCGTAGCTATCTGCGCTATCCCGTAGCTCTGCACTAGTACCAAAGAAATGAACACTTCTACTTTTCACTAGTACAATGAAGAGGTAAGTTTATTGCATTTCATTGAACTTTAAAAATAACATAAAATTATTGGTTAGCTAGAAATATACTACTTCCTTTTCTAGATATATAGAGCCATGTAGAGCCATAAAATTGTATTCATTGCATACATTGGCCTTTGATTTCAGAATATTGTTCATAAGTAGAATGGAAATTCTGCAGGGAGAGCAAGCCTGGTACACGGGAAGGAGCATGGCCTTTGTCTGACTTGACCACTGATTGACAGTGTGGTCTTGGGCAGACCACCTAACAGTTCTGAGTGTTTTTACTCATTCTAGGATGAGGAGACTGATCTTTTCTTATTCTAACTTTTATTGGGGTATGGTTACTTTACAATGTTCTGTTAGTTTCTGCTGTACGGCAAAGTGAGTTAGCTATATGTATACCTGTATCCCCTCTTTTTTGAATTTCTTCAAGGCCACTAATCTTTACCACACACATGTATTATGAAGTTTGTGGAAATAGATTAAATAGATTAAAGCAGCAAGCACCTGTCTGGCATGTACTACCTCTCCTTTTAATACTAAGTTCAAAACCTGCCACTGTCCTACCTTTTGAACTCCTCAGTATCTTTACCACCTGATTTATACAAAGGGCTTCCTTGGTGGCACAGATGGTAAAGAATCTGCCTGCAGTGCAGGAGACCCAGGTTCAATTCCTGGATCAGGAAGATCCCCTGGAAAAGGGAATGGGTACCCATTCCAGTATTCTTGCCTGGAGAATTCCATGGACAGAGGAGCCTGGTGGGCTACAGTCCATGGGGTTGCAAAGACTTGGACACCTGTGAGTAACTAACACACACAATTTATACGAAAACCCCAAGATTTTGTACTTGATTTTTTTTCTGATGAATGGTAATTTTTGTTTGTTTATCATTGTCTGTAGATCTTTTCTCCTTTGTAGGTGTTCCTTCAATGACAATAATTATATTCTAAGACAAAGAAAATACCACTTTAATGGGTGTAGTCATAGGTAACCTATGCCATTAAACTTGAGAACAGCTTAAAATAACATAAAGCTCTCCAAATTAAAAGGGATTTTAGAAAATTTTGTGCAACTTTATATACCAGGAACAACATTGTTTACTTGATTGGACTGGCTTGAAGATTTGTACTGCATGGCAACAACATTTATCCTAATAAGGACCATTTGTACATGGGGTAATGTCCAACCTGAATGATATTATGACTTAGGAGAAGGAATAAATTACATTCCTTTGCCTGATGTTCAGCAGCCCCTTCTCTCTTTCTTTCTCTCTCACTCTCTCTGTCTCACACACACACAGACACACACACACTCTATCTGACCTAATTTCCAGGCTTTTGTTCATATTGAACGCCTTTCTTTGATGTCTGCTTCTTTAGCCAACTTATTTGCTTTGCGTGATACAGGTTTTTGGAATGAGGGAGATCAAGTGTCTGAATATCATGCCATTCCTTTCTCCAAGGGATCCTCCCAACCCAGGAATTGAACCCAGTTCTCTTGCATTGCAGGCAGATTCTTTACCATTTGAGCTACCAGTCAAGCGTCATGCTTTGACTACTATTGACTGAATCTCTGACCTAAACAATATGGGTTTCTCATCTGTAAAATGGGAATGAAAACACCTTGTATGTTATTTTGAAGTTTAAGTGGGAAATTCGTTGTTAATGTTGTTTAGTTATTTAGTTTTGTTAGTTATTTAGTCACTAAGTCGTGTCTGACTCTTTTGCGACCCTGTGAACTTTAGCCCACCAGGCTCCTCTGTTCATGGGATTCTCCAAGCAAGAATACTGGAGTGAGTTTCCATTTCCTCCAAGGGATCCTCCCAACCCAGAGATCTGACCCATGTCTCCTGCATTGGCAGGCGGGTTCTTTGCCACTGAGCCACCAGAGAAACTCAAGTAGGAAATAGATGTTTACAAATTTTCTGACATACTTTCTTAGTAAATATTGATCTGTCCATCTGTCATCTTTTTCAAATGAAAGTTTTGAGGATCTAGTGTTCCAGTGAGTTAGCATGCTGTATAGTAAGGGGTGAAGAGCATAGAATTTGAGTCAAACCTGGATTCAAATCTTGGCTCTGCCACTTAATTGCTGGGATGTTACTTAATCTGTTTTAAATAGTTTCTTAATTGATAAATAGTTATTTCTATTTACAGTAGTTGTTGTGAGGATAATGTGAAATGAATATAAATTGTTTTGGACTGAACCTCATACTTACTATACATTACTAAGCTATCATTAAATCACTATACTGAAATCATCACCAGTGGTCTGAATTATGTTCAGCTTCTCTAAAGATTTCTTCTAAACTGGATTTTGAGTTTCTGAAGGGTTAGGAGCCAAGTTCGAGTATTTCTTGAACTCAGTAGCACCACCTAGGATCATGCCGGTTGCATTATGCCAGTTTGTTCAATTTATGGCAAATAGAAAAACTGCTCCAGACTTTTGGCCTGTCCACCTGTCAGCCACTACTCAGTAGGAGCAGCAAGTTTGGGTAACTCATTACTTGTAATCAAAACTGTACCAAATTATCAGATTTTCTAAGTAGAATGGCACAACAATTGTATTATGTGACTAGAACTTTGTAAAGAATTACGTACTTCTCTCACACTTGTACAATGTCCATGCATTTCATTCACTACTTAGAAGCTCATTGCATGTACTGTGTGAATTGCAGGCAGATTCTTTACCATTTGAGCTACCAGTCAAGCGTCATGCTTTGACTACTATTGACTGAATCTCTGACCTAAACAATATGGGTTTCTCATCTGTAAAATGGGAATGAAAACACCTTGTATGTTATTTTGAAGTTTAAGTGGGAAATTCGTTGTTAATGTTGTTTAGTTATTTAGTTTTGTTAGTTATTTAGTCACTAAGTCGTGTCTGACTCTTTTGCGACCCTGTGAACTTTAGCCCACCAGGCTCCTCTGTTCATGGGATTCTCCAAGCAAGAATACTGGAGTGAGTTTCCATTTCCTCCAAGGGATCCTCCCAACCCAGAGATCTGACCCATGTCTCCTGCATTGGCAGGCGGGTTCTTTGCCACTGAGCCACCAGAGAAACTCAAGTAGGAAATAGATGTTTACAAATTTTCTGACATACTTTCTTAGTAAATATTGATCTGTCCATCAGTCATCTTTTTCAAATGAAAGTTTTGAGGATCTAGTGTTCCAGTGAGTTAGCATGCTGTATAGTAAGAGGTGAAGAGCATAGAATTTGAGTCAAACCTGGATTCAAATCTTGGCTCTGCCACTTACTTGCTGGGATGTTACTTAATCTGTTAAAATAGTTTCTTAATTGATAAATAGTTATTTCTATTTACAGTAGTTGTTGTGAGGATAATGTGAAATGAATATAAATTGTTTTGGACTGAACCTCATACTTACTATACATTACTAAGCTATCATTAAATCACTATACTGAAATCATCACCAGTGGTCTGAATTATGTTCAGCTTCTCTAAAGATTTCTTCTAAACTGGATTTTGAGTTTCTGAAGGGTTAGGAGCCAAGTTCGAGTATTTCTTGAACTCAGTAGCACCACCTAGGATCATGCCGGTTGCATTATGCCAGTTTGTTCAATTTATGGCAAATAGAAAAACTGCTCCAGACTTTTGGCCTGTCCACCTGTCAGCCACTACTCAGTAGGAGCAGCAAGTTTGGGTAACTCATTACTTGTAATCAAAACTGTACCAAATTATCAGATTTTCTAAGTAGAATGGCACAACAATTGTATTATGTGACTAGAACTTTGTAAAGAATTACGTACTTCTCTCACACTTGTACAATGTCCATGCATTTCATTCACTACTTAGAAGCTCATTGCATGTACTGTGTGTTCTCTGATGATTAGTTATGGGAAGAAAGTAAAATCAAATGAAGAGTGAAAGGGAACTGAACATAAGCATAAGGAGAAAATGAGAGAATGATCAGGTTGAGTAGATGGTACATTCCACCAAAGACTGACTTAGTCATTGCTTTCCTAACTTTCATATATTAGATCTATTTCATATCGTTTTTCTTGTTATAGTCTTTGTTGTTTTAAAATATTATCTTTGCAAAAATCATTTATACAATTACTGTAGCTGTGGTAAACTTAAAGATGTACTTTTCAAAATACACTGAAATTATGTGGGTAATTTAAAACATGAAGGTTTAGGGTTAGGGTCAGCATGAAGGGTAATTTAAAAACACTCTTAGCCAACCAAGAAAAATAATTTTGGAAACTAAAATTTTCATATTTTCAAAATTAAAATAAACATTTCAATGCTTTTCAAAGTCTTACCTTTTTCTTCAAGATTTACTTATGCAAAAAATAAAAATAAATAAATCCATGATTTGATGCACTATCCCTATGAAGTAGATCTTACTTAACTCCTTTTGATAAAAAATACAGAACAGAGAAAGTTGAAGACTTACCTTAAATCTCACAAAATATGAAATAATCAGAATGGGATTTTAGGGTTTTAGGTTTTCCTTCCTGATTCATTATTGTGAGCCTTTTCTGTGGTTCTTGTTTATGGAGAAATCATATCTTTGTTTTTATTTTTTTCTGAACTTTAGAGGGCTGCTGAAGTATCAGACAAATTTAGATACCCACCCTCCTGGCTGCATGAATCTTAATGGAACCCACTACCAGAATACTCATTTACCAGAGCATTTCTCAGAACATTTTCATGACTCTTCTCCTGGAGGATTTTCAAAGTCTGATGAACTTACCCAGAACACGTTTGTGAAGATTTGTATGGAAAAGCCCAGGTTCCAAGCTAATTTTCCACAGGTCAGATTAGTCCTATGCCTTTACTGGTTTCTGCAAAGTCCGTGTTCCCATAAAAAATTGATCAGCATTGCATTTAAACATGTTTTTGAAGGAAAGCAATTATTCTTGCAGAAGAGAATGTTTCAGGCTGTTTCAGTAGCAAATTAGTACCTGTTTTTCCATAATAGGCAGCCTACAGTTCAATGAGTAGATCTATGATATTACAGAATATAGAAAATTCCTGTTTAACTCATCATATGTTCTTTGCAAATTGTGGCACTGGTGCTTACCATAAGAAAGGTGGCAAAGATACATTCCTTATGCATTGAGAAAAGTAGGTTGAATAAGAAAAATAATAGTGAAAAACCTAGTACTACTACTAATAATTATTATAGTATAGTATCATATTATGTATAATATTATAAACACTAAGCTGTAAAATAAATTTATTGAATGCTTAATATCATCTGCTAGGGGCTGTGCTAAAATATATTGTATGCTTTTTTAATATTCACAATAACTCTTTGAAGCAATTACCATCATCCTTAATTTTCTGATAAGGAAATTATGGTATAATATTATTATGGTACAATATTATGTATAATATTATAAATACTGAGTTGTAAAATCAGTATATTGAATGCTTAATACCATCTGCTTGGGGATGTGCTAAAATACATTATATGCATTTTTTAAAATATTCATAGCTCTTTGAAGCAATTATTGTCAGCCTTAATTTTCTGATGAGGAAATTGTGGTTTAAATATGTAAATATACTCTGACCAACATATGTAAACTAACTTGTAGGAGAAGAAGAGTACAAAACCAAGTTATCTTGCTCTTAGAAAACTTCTTCCCAAAATACCCAGCTAGTAGTTTGGTAAGAGTCATAATCTTCCCTTGTAGCATTGGGAGCTGCCCACATGGGTATCACACCCTGTATTCTGTGTCTGTACCAAAGGAAAGTCGGGAAATAGTGAAATTGAATGTCTGTTTTAAGAAGAAGAAAAGGGAGTCAAGAGAGAGCGATTTGTAGATGCCTTTGGAATGAGTGTGTTTGTCTTGTTTTCTTATTAAAAATAATCCTCTAGATTTCTTTTAAGCTTTACAATCTTCAGAGCTTTTCTGGCTTCACACAATGCTTTATGTTAGGGAAGGCAGGTATTGTGAGTCCCATTTTACTTGTGGGATGCCCAAAGGCTAAGCAACATCCCAAAGTTGCAGAGTTTGTCCTGTGATGCTTACTCTGCACAAAGTTTCTAACTGTTGGGTTGGCCACAATGTTCATTTGGGTTTTTCTATAAGATGGAAATGCAAAAATCTGAATAAATTTTTTGGCCAACCCAATAAATGTGAGGAGCAGGCATGATCTGCATGGAAGAAGGACTTTCTGGAATAACTCTGTAGTTTAGGTTTTAAAAGGTGACCATGAAAATACATTTGGGTTGGGGGCCTCCAAGTGTTGAGAGAGATAAAGTGCGTAGTTGTAGGAGAAAGGTTGACCACACAGGCCATGCAGTTATCCTGGGATGAGCGTTATGCCTCCAGCATACATGCAAAATTGTCATGGTTTCCAAATTCTAAATGGTATCTTCTGTTCGTGTTATACTATGTAAAAGTAAATTGTGAACAACACATGTGGTATGCCCATATTTAAAAATATGTACATATACATATTTTACATTGGGTATACATTTTGTATATGTATATTATGCATGCATATTGTGTTTATTAAAAATACCTAGGGTTCTCTTTTTTTTAAACAAATATTAGACTGGTACATTTTTTACTAAAATACTCCAGATTTACTTAAGCTTTTACTTCTCTTTCTTCTTCCTTTAGAGAAAGATATTGTATATATACAACATATATTTCTTGTGGGCCCAGAAGGATATATGAAACAATAAACTACCTGTTAATGGTAGCTATACCCTTGATAGTGGCTTGAGGGTAGGGTCCAGACATTACTTTCCCTTCTATTTTATACTTTATTCTTGTTTCAGTAAGTTGCAGTGAGCATCTGTTGCTTTTTACCCATTTTTCTTTACACTTTGTTATTTCAAATACAGATTAAATTATCATTGCTGTATTATTACTGTAATGTGTCAAATAAGCAGTGAGGCAGGATATAAAGAGTCCTATAACACAAGTATTTCTTAAAGTGTATTTCAAAAATTCTCCATTAGACCTGGCTTTGGATTTCTGGACCTTTGTGCCTATATTGTGCTGAAAGGCTTTACAGGTGTATCCGGAGCAATAAGCCAGTCACCATCATCTCAGTCACAAGTCATCCATCAGATGTCATGGAAATCCGAATGGTCAAAGAAAATTTTAAAGCAAGACCTGGCCAGGTGAGTCAATGTCCAGCAACTTTTAAAATACCTTTTATCTGTTTTTTCAAAATTAGCATTATTAAGATATTTGAACTTCTTTCTTGGTCATTTAAAAATTGTTTGTTGCTTTTTAGTACATTATTCTACATTGTCCCAGTGTGTCTGCATTAGAAAACCATCCATTTACTCTCACAATGGTAAGAAACTTGTTTTTTTATTTTCTAATGTTTAGAATGAAATACATCTTTCTCTTTGCGTATGTGTGCACTCCACCTCATTCTAAAAATCATTCAAGGCTGTCACAATATCCTTAATGTTTAAGTAAACCATCTTTTTACAAGAAATATAATTACCTAGACAGAAACTTAGTAACTATTAATTATTTTCTAAAAACGTAAACTTCAGGAAATATGTTTAATTTATGAAATCTTTTTGATTCAAAATGCAGAAAATTTCCTGAATATTTGGACTCTTCTTTTTATAAAATATGTATGAAATTATAAAATGTGCATGATTTTCTTTAGAGAGATTAAATTTAAGGAAATAGAGTACTGTGGGTTGAGATGGAAGCAAAAGAAAATGTTTAGAAAAGAAAAAGCTCAGTATAATTGGCATCTAGGCCGTGTATGGAGAAGGAAAAGGAAAATAAAGTCAGAAAAATAAAATAGAACAAATATTGCAGGGAAATCTGGCTAAATCATGGTATCAAATATTGTTAGCCCATTCCCTAATGTTATTTTTTTGCCTTATACAAATGGCATGAGCCCATTATGAAAAAAGTAAATAATTCAGAAGCATATAGGATCACATCATAACTTTTCCTCATTACCCCACTCCCAAGTCCTGTTCTTAAGTTTGACAAATAGTCTTACCGATATTTCCTTACATTCTTTAGCATATATGGGTGTCTGCCATTCGTTTGCTGGATCTTTTGTTTTAAAGTTTTATTTTTTCACTCACCAATAGGTCGTGGACAACTTTCCATGTTACTGTATTTATAAATGCCTCATTATTTTTAATCACTGTATGTCACAGTAGAAACACAGTGTAATTTATTTAATATTTTCCATTGTTGATGGAAGTTAAGATTTTATTCAGTTTCTAACAAAAGTAACTGAGATAAGGACAACATATTTACATGTTAGAATTGAACAAATTATGGGGGGAGGTCCAGGAAAACAGCATGTTGACGTGCTAAGGTTTAGAGATGGAATTCTGTTGGGATTGGCTGTGCTGTCTGCAGGTCGCTTCAGTCGTGTCCAGCTCTTTGTGACCCCATGGACTGTAGTCCTCCAGGCCCTTCTGTCCATGGAATTTTCCAGGCAAGAATGCTGGAGTGGGTTACCATGCCCTTCTCCAGGAGATCTGCCCCACCCAGGATAGAATCCATGTCTCTTACATCTCCTGCACTGGCAGACAGATTCTTTATAACTAGCACCACCTGGAAAGCCCCTATTGGAACCACTGTTAAATGTGATGTATTTTTCAAGTTGAAAACTTGGAAACCTTGGTCAAGTTACTTCATCTTTTTTGTACATTCATTTCTTAGTGTAATATTATTATAAAGACAGTAGCTATTCACACACACCTTATGAGTTCAAATGAAATACTACAAATAAAGCATGTAGAACACAATCTGGAATGTGAAAAGTATCAAGCATATGTCAGTTTATGTTAGCAAGTGTTATAATTTTTATTTGCAGTGTGAATTTGCCCCTTGAGAGCATGTACATGTGAAGATGGCTAGGCCAGAAACATTTGTATTTAAGGAACAACACAAACTGAGAGAAAGTGTCAAATGTTTAAAGAAAAAGCAGGAGTTATTTTTCCAATCCCTTATGATTATACAGTGGAGATGAAGAATAGATTCAAGGGATTAGATGTGGTAGACAGCATCTGAAAAACTATGGATGGAACTTCATAATATTGTACAGGAGGCAGTGACTAAAACCATCCCAAAGAAAAAGAAATGCAAAAAGGCAAAGGGGTTGTCTGAGGAGGCTTAACAAATAGCTGAGGAAAGAAGACAAGTGAAAGGCACGGAAGTAAAGGAAAAATATACCCAACTGAAAACAGAGTTCCAGAGACTAGAAGGAGAGATAAGAAAGCCTTCTTAAGTGAACAATGCAAAGAAATAGAGGAAAACAACAGAATGGGAAAGACTTTCTCTTTTTACAGATCTTTTCTAGAAAACTGGAGGTACCAAGGGAACATTTCATGCAAGGATGGGCATGATAAAGGACAGAAATGAGAAGGACCTAACAGAAGCAAAGGGTATTAAGTAGAGGCGGCAAGAGTACACAGAGGAACTATACAGAAAGGTCTTGATGACCTGGATAGCCATGATGGTGTGATCCTTCACCTAGAACCAGACATCCTGGAGTGTGAAGGCAAGTGGACCTTAGGAAGCATTACTGTGCACGAAGCTGGTGGAAGTAATGGAATTCCAGCTGAGCTATTTAAAATCCTAAAAGATGATGCTGTTAAAGTGCTGCACTCAAGATGTCAATATGTCAGCAAATTTGGAAAACTCACCAGTGGCCACAGGACTGAAAAAGGTCAGTTTTCATTCCAGTTCTAAAGAAGAGCACTGCCAAAGAATGTTCAAACTATCGTACTATACTCTATCAATTACCAAATTGCGTTCAAGGACAGAAGAGCCTGGCGGGCTACAGTCCATAGGTCCACAAAGAGTTGGACAGGACTGAGCAGCTAACCAGAGAAGGCAATGTCAACCCACTCCAGTGTTCTTGCCTGGAGAATCCCAGGGACGGCGGGGCCTACTGGGCTGCCGCCTATGGGGTCTCACAGAGTCGAACACGACTGAAGTGACTTAGCAGCAGCAGCAGCAGAACAACTAACGTTTTCACTTTCTTTCAGCAAGGTAAAGCTCAAAATCCTTGAGGCTAGTCTTAGAAGCATGTGAACTGAACTTGCTGGTGTACAAGCTGAGTTTAGAAAAGGCAGAGGAACCAGAGTCAAATTGTAAACATTTGGTGGATCACAGAGAAAAGAAGGAGTTCCAGAAAAATATCTACTTCTGCTTCATTGACAATAGCCTTTGATTGTGTGGATCAGTTAAAACTGAAAAATTTTAAAGAGATGGGAATGCCAGACCAACTTATCTGTCTCCTAAAAAACCTGTATGCAGGTCAAGAAGCAGCAGTTAGAACAGGACATGGAACAACAGACTGGTTCCAAGTTGGGAAAGGAGTACGGTATATTGTCACCCTGTTTATTTAACTTATATTCAGAGTACATCATGAAAAAAACTGGACTGGATGAATCACAAGCTGGAATCAAGATTGCTGGGAGAAATATCAACAACCTCAGATATGATACCACTCTAATGGCAGAAAATGAGGAGGAACTAAGGAGCCCCTTGATGAGGGTGAAACAGGAGAGTTGGCTTAAAATTCAGCATTTAAAAAATGAAGATCTTGGCATCTGGTCCCATCACTTCATGTCAAGTAGAAGGGGGAAAAGTAGAAACAGTGACAGATTTTCTTTTGTTGATCTCCAAAATCATTGCCAATGGTGACTGCAGCCATGAAATTGAAAAGACACTTTCTCCTTGGAAGAAAAGCTATGACAAACCTAGATAGCTTATTAAAAAGCAGAGATATCACTTTGCTGACAGAGGTCCACGTAGTCAAAGCTATGGTTTTTCCAGTAGTCATGTATGGATGTGAGAGTTGGACCATATAGAAGACTGAGTGCCGAAGAATTGATGCCTTCAAACTGTGGTGCTAGAAACGACTTTTGAGAGTCCCTTGGACAGCCGGGAGATCAAACCAGTCCATCCTAAAGGAAATCAGTCCTGAATATTCATTGGAATATTCATTCAGCTGAAGCTGAAACTTCAATACTTTGGCCACTTGTTGCGAAGAACTGACTCTTTGGAAAAGACCCCGATGCTGGGAAATATTGAAGGTGGGAGGAGAAGAGGGCGGCAGAGGATGAAATGGTTAGGTAGCACCACCAACTCAATGGATATGAATTTGAGCAAACTCTGGGAGATAGGATGCGGAAGCCTTGAAATCCCAACGTGTAGAAATATGACTAAAAGGTTCAAAGTTTTGTTCTTATTGTTCAGTTGCTCAGTCCTGTCCGACTCTTTGTGACCCCATGGACACAGGAGCTCGCCAGGCTCCTGTATCCATGGGATTTCCCAGACCAGAATATTGGAGTGGGTTACCATTTCCTTCTCCATCAGAATGTGTTGGATGAGGCGAAAAGGGTGGATGCCTGGGATTCTGTATCCATCATAGTTTTTCTTCTCTCTTACTTTCTTCAATTAAGACAAGATTTTTCTTTATTCTTTCTACTGCTTCTAGGCCGCTTCTTCGGTTCTCTTAAAGGAACATGGTTCTCTGAAGATTCCCTAAGAAAAACAAGGGAAAAAGGACCTAAAATAGTTTGGAAAATAGTGCTTACTATATATCACTTAAAAATTCACAATGTCTTTAACCCCATTAATGGTTTTCAAACATTCTTTAACAAATAGTCCCATTAAATTTTATTCATCCATTTTTCTAACCTATCTTTATTTTCTCACTCTAAGTTCTTTGTCTAAACTAATCTCTTTGCCCTGGGAACAAATTATTATATCTTCCATTTATTCACACCCCAAATACCACACATTCTCTTGACCTTTTCCTCTTATAAGACACTGCATATCCTCTTCAACAAATAGTGCCATTAAATTACTTGTTTAATGCGTGCCTCTCAGACAGTAAAGAATCTGCCTGCATGGCAGGACACCCAAGTTCAATCCCTGGGTTAGAAAGATCCCCTGGAGAAGGGCGTGGCAACCAACAACAGTATTCTTGCCTGAAGAATCCCTCAGACAGAGGACCCTGGCAAACTACAGGCCATGGGATTGCAAAGAATCGGACAGAACTGAATGACTAACATTCCCTCCTAGACCGTAAGATTCAGGAGCCCTTTGAAGGATACATTCATAGTTCAGTGTCTGGTACACAGAGTAACACAATATGTATCTGTTAAAAGAGTGAAAAACACTTAATATCTAATCAGTGTTTGGGACTTACCTTGACAAATATTTAAAAGATGGATTATCTTTTCCTCCCATCTCTTACTTGAGAGATAAAGGCAGAGAAAAGAAAAAGAGGAATTAAGGAGAAGCAAGAAATGCCATGGCTGACATGACTGTCAGTCAAAGAGCCAGGTTTCC